ATACAATATAAATTAATTTATATACACTCCCCTATCCTATCTAACCCAACCAAACCCTAAAATACCCATCTCATATCCACTCTCCCACCGTCGCCTCTTCCCCTCATCTCCCTCTCTCGTCTTCACTCTCCCCGATGAAAAATTCCGGTTATTTGAACTTCTTGATGGAGACTATTTCTGTCAATTCACCCATACAAGCTTTCCCTAGTTCAAAGCACAGATCAAGAATAGGCTTCACCACAAAGCATCCACAGAATTATGGAATGAATTTCAATCACTGCCCTTCCAAATCTCCGATTAACTTCCAAGAAGTTGCCACGCCGTCAGTGACATCTCCGTCGCCACCTCTGCCTCTTTGATTGGCAGACCAAGTAGACTGAGAAGCCCCAAAATCAATTGTCTGATTCTCTCTTCAATGCTGCTTCATCCCTGTCCTTTTTTTTGTTTTGAAGTTTTGAGTGGTGGGGTGTTTGTGTTGCTGTGGATAGGGTTGGGTGCGTGTGAGTGCGAGAGGAGGCAGTTCCGGTGGGTGTGATTGCGTGGGTGCGGCAGCAGTGGAGGAGCGGTAGAATGGTCGTAATCAGTTTGATGCCGTGGTGTGGGCGGTGGATCGGGGAGTTGCGGATTGGTGGTCGTAGTTATTTTGTACGTGCATGTGGTGGTGGGGTGTCGGGTTTTGTTGTGGGTGCGGTCGTGTTGGCAGTGCATGTTGGCGGTGGTGGTTTTGAAGGTGGTGACTGGTGCTGGGAGGTTGTGGTGTTGGTTTGTATGAGACGTTGATGTTGGTATTGGGCGACTACGGTGGTGGTGATGAAGGTGGAGGCAGCGTGGGCGTGGCGGTGGTTTTGGTTGATTGTGACCAATGAAATAGATAAAATTGTGACCAAAACATGATGTGTGACCTAAAAAGTTGTAACTGATAATTTGATAAATTGTGACCTAAATAGTAAATATGATTTTTGATTAATTAATTTGATGTTTTGCGACCATAAAATAAGTTGTGTTTGTGACCATAAAATAAGTAATGTGACTTGTAACTTTTGTGATTTGTGGCCGATGAACAAATTGTGACTTTAAAATTTTTAAGTTGTGACCGATGAACAAATTGAAATTTTGAAATTTTTGAATTGAGACCTAAAAATTTTTGAATTGTGACCAAATTGCATAGATCTGTGACCTTAATATAGTAATATCGTCGGAGTTGGAATATTTGCCGGAATTGGAGCAGTTGCCGGAATGATCACCGGAACAGTCGCTGGAGAAGAGTGGTCATCGGAAAGGTCGCCGAAATAGTCACCAGAGCTGTAGGGGTGGTGGAGATGGGGGTGGGTTAATTATATTATATTAGAATTAAATATTTAATAATAAATTGATTTAATAATTATTATTTCATAAATAAAAATTTAAAAAAACCTGATTTTTGTAATTTGAAACTTGTTTTTGTATTTTTGAAATGAGTGAAAATAAATACCTTATTTATGTATTGTTCCCTTTTTTTTTTTTACGTATTAGCCCGACTTATAATGCAGTCCTGGATCCATCCATGGGCCATGTAGAAACTAGTTTATTAATAACATGCAGTTGTGCCTTAATGGCCTATTTGGTAAAGTTGATTGGTATCGGAGAAGAAAAAAAGTAGAATTTTGTCAATTTTACTGTCCAATCCTAACAAATACTGCACACCAAACCCATCCTAAAAGTTATTTCAACTTCATTCACATCGTGTTTCAAGTTGAAACTAATCTATCAGTGATATCAATGCCCCGTCATAAACCCCAAAAAGGAAAACATAATTCCAAAAAGTCATTTGAAGGTGCGACTAGAGACACGATTGTGCCTCCTGGGAAAGTAATATGAAACATTATTTCTCAAATATTATTGAACACAACAGACCGAAACTGATGCAGAAACTGGACAGGACAGTAATACATAGAAGCCTCTGGCCTTCCACAGATTAGTGACACTTCACAAGCCTTGCTGATATATTCAACTATCAGAAGATGTGTGACTCAAATATTCACATTTCTTCAACATCACTTCAGCTACGACCTAATGGTAATAAGGGAGACAAGCAATACAAGTAACAACGGGATTGATCCTAGATAGAATAGAGTAAAAGAAAAGTATCCCAGAAATAAGATTGCGTGGAAGAGAAGTTTATTGAGTTTATTTGCATGTGACAGACTTATATAGCAGACAATGTATTTGATGTATTCTCTATAGGACTGTACTTCATTTAATCAATGTTATTGGTAACTTGTATAGTTCATACCACACATTTTTGGAATAGAATAGGATCAAGATCAAACCTTAGTCCATGTTATTTACGCGAGGTTCCTCTTTCGGAAAGTA